CCCCAAAACCCCAAAACCCCAAAACCCCAAAACCCCTGACAAGTCTAGAAACATTGACGAGAAATAAATAATAAATCTTTGCAAAAGTATTAGATATAACATGTCTGAAATTACTTCGGAGTTTGATGACTACAGGATCACTCCAAGAGTCGATTACAGGACTATCTTGGATGTCGAGGGACCTCTTGTCATCCTTGACAATGTCAAGTTCCCCAAGTACGCCGAAATTGTCAACGTCCGTCTTGGAGATGGATCAATTAGAAAGGGACAAGTCTTGGAAATTATGGGTAAAAGAGCAGTTGTCCAGATTTTTGAGGGAACACAAGGAATAGATAACATCAATACTCACATTGAATTTACTGGTGACGTCTTAAAGATGCCAATCAGTATTGAAATGCTTGGTAGATCATTCAATGGATCAGGAGTTCCCATTGATAGTGGACCCCCTGTTTTGGCTGAGAAATTCTTGGATATTAATGGACAGCCCATCAACCCATTCCAGAGAGTATACCCACAGGAAATGATTGAAACTGGTATTTCTGCCATTGATGTGATGAATTCCATCGCTAGAGGACAGAAGATCCCTCTCTTCTCTGCTGCTGGTCTTCCTCATAATGAAATTGGAGCACAGATTTGTCGTCAAGCTTCTTTGGTTAACAAAGAAGGCAAAGATGTACACGATAAATCAGAGGAAAACTTTTCTATTGTATTCGGTGCTATGGGAGTCAACATGGAGACTGCTAGATACTTCAAGACTGACTTTGAGGTCTATGGATCAATGGACCGTGTTGTCTTATTCATGAATCTTGCCAATGATCCTACTATTGAAAGAATTATTACCCCAAGACTTGCTCTCACAACAGCTGAATACCTTGCTTATGAGTGTGATTTGCATGTTTTGGTTATTCTGACTGATATTTCTTCTTATGCTGATGCTTTGAGAGAAATCTCTGCTGCTAGAGAAGAAGTGCCAGGAAGGAGAGGATACCCAGGATACATGTACACGGATCTCTCTACCATCTATGAGAGAGCAGGAAGAGTTGCAGGTAAAAGTGGATCAATCACCCAGCTTCCAATTCTTACAATGCCTAATGATGATATCACCCATCCAATCCCAGATCTGACAGGATATATTACAGAGGGTCAGATCTTTATTGACAGAAACTTGCACAACAAGAATATTTATCCTCCAATCAACGTATTGCCTTCCTTATCAAGATTAATGAAGTCTGCTATCGGAGAAGAATTCACCAGAGAGGATCATCCAGAAGTATCAAATCAGCTATATGCCTTCTATGCTATGGGAAAGGATACTCAAGCAATGAAAGCCGTTGTTGGAGAAGAGGCCCTTTCAGACGATGATAAGCTCTATTTAGAATTCCTGGACAAATTCGAAGGAGAGTTCTTGACTCAGGACCCTCTCGAGAAGAGAAATATTTTCAAATCTCTCGACAAAGCTTGGGACTTGCTTAGAATCTTCCCTGAGAAACTTCTTAAGAAAATCAGTCAAGAGAATCTGAAGAAATATTACGAAAGAGGTGAGCAGATGCTTCGTAAGAACCTTGAGGGTAATAAGAGACATATTGTAGAGGAAGAGAAGAAAGAGTAATTTCGAATAATAACTATTGACTGCATTTGTTCAACCTGGTTAAAAGGCATAGGGGTTTTGGGGTTTTGGGGTTTTGGGGTTTTGGGG